GCTGGTGTTGGAATTGAGGTGACAGCTGGTGTTGGAATTGAGGTGACAGCTGGTGTTGGAATTGAGGTGACAGCTGGTGTTGGAATTGAGGTGACAGCTGGTGTTGGAATTGAGGTGACAGCTGGTGTTGGAATTGAGGTGACAGCTGGTGTTGGAATTGAGGTGACTCAAGGGGAATTATGGTGACAGTTGATGATGGACTTAAGGTGACAGATGAGGATGGATTTGTAATAACTTCCTGTGATGGACTTGAGGTAACTGCGGTGTTGGACTTCAGGTAAATAAAGTAGTAAAAGAGGTGACAGCTGATGACGGACTTGAGGTGAGACCTGTGATGGACTTGACCTGACAGTTGATGTTGGATTGAGGTGACAGATATTGAAGGACATGAGGTGACAGCTGACGATGGACTTGAGTTAAAAGCTCATGATCTAGTTTAGGTGACAGCTGAATATGCAATTAAGGAGACTGCTGATGATGTTCTTGAGGTGACAGCTGATGATGGACTTGAGGTGACTGTTGCTGTTGGACTTGAGGTGACTACTGGTGTTGGAGTTGAGATAACACAAAATTATGAACTGATGTTGACTACTGGAGTTGGAGTTAAGGTGACAGCTGATGATGGGCTTGACGTAACTGCTGGTCATGGTCTTGAGTTGACAGTTGGTCTTGAGCTTGAGGTGACTCAAGTAGAATTTGAGGCAACTGCTGGTGTTGTTATTGAGGTGACAGCTGGTGTTGGAGTTGAGGAGACTATTGGTGTTGGAATTGATGTAAATGCTTGTAAAGTCCTTGTGATGACTATTGGTTTGGGACTTGAGGTGATTTCTGGTGTTGGACTTGAGATGACAGCTGGTGTTGCACTTGAGGTGACAGCTGGTTGTGGACATATGATGACTGCTAGTTTTGGAATTGAGGTGAATGCCAGTGTTTGACCTGAGGAGAAATTTGGTGTTGGATCTGAGGTGACTGCTGGAGATGGACGTGAGGTGACAGTTGAGGATGGACGTCAGGCGATTGCTGGTGTTGCACGTGAGGTGAAAGCTTGTGTTGGACATTAGGTAACACCTGCTGTTGGACTTGAGGTTATTGCTGGGGCTGTTTTGGAGGTGACAGCTGACGATGGACTTGAGTTGACTGCAGCTGTTGGATTTGAGGTGACTGCTGTTGTTGGACTTGGGTGACTGCTCTTGTTGGACATGAGGTGTCTGCTGGTGTTGAACAGGAGGTGATTGCCAGTGTTGGAGTTGAGGCGATGCTGGGTTTTGTCTTCAGCAGACTGCTGGTTGTGGACTTGAGGTGACTGCTGTTGTGAGACTTGAGGAGATTGCTGGTGTTGGATTGGGGTGACTGCTGTTGTTGGATTGAGGTGACAGCTGGAGATGGACTGGAGGTGACAACTCATGATATAGTTGAGGTGACAGCTGATGATAGGCTTGGTGAACTCATGGTAATGCAGCTGTGACTGTTGGTGTTGGACTTGAGGTGACTGCTGGTGTGGGGCTTGGGTTGACTGCTGTTTTAAAACATGAGGTGAGGCAGGCGTTGGATTGAGGTGACTCAAGTGGGTCTTGAGGTAACTGCTGGTGTTGGAGTCAGGTCATAGAAGCAGTAGAAGAGGTGACAGCTGATGATGACCTTGAGGTGAAAATTAAAGTTGGACTTGAGGTGACAGCTGGTGCTGGACATGTGGTGACTCAAGTGTGTCGTGAGGCAACTGCTGGTGTTGGACTTGAAGGAAATATAGTTCTAGAAGAGGTGACAGCAGTTCATGGCTTTTGGGTGAAAGCTGATGATGGCCTTGAGGTGACAGTTGATGATGGCTGTGAGGTGACAGCCGGTGCTTTTATTGAGGTGCCTCTTTTGTTGGACTTGAGGTGAGTGCTGGTGTTACCATTAAGGTGACAGCTGGTGTTGGACTTGAGGTGACTAAAATGGGTCTTGAGTTGACTGTTGTTGCTGGAATTCAGGTAAATGAAGCAGTAGAAGTGGTGACAGCTGATGATGACCTTAAGGTGAAAATTGATGTTGGACTTGAGGTGACAGTTAATGAAGGCATTGAGGTGACTGCTGGTGTTGTAATTGAGGTGAATGTTGATGTTGGTCTTGAGGTGACTGCTGTTGTTGCAATTTAGGTGACAACTGATGATGGACTTCAGGTTACAGCTAATGATGTAGTTGAGGTGACAGCTGATTTTGGACTTAAAGTGACAGCCGATGCTGTATTTGAGGTGATAAGTGAGGGTGGAGTTGAGGGGACTGCTGCTGTTGGACTTGAGGTGACTTAAATGGGACTTGAGTTTACTGCTGTTGGTGGAATTCAGGTAAATGAAGCAGTAGAAGAGGTGACAGCTGATGATGACCTTGAGGTGAAAGCTGATGTTGTACTTGAGGTGACAGCTGATGAAGGCCTTGAGGTGACTGCTGGTTTTGTACTTGAGGTGACTGTTGATTTTGGACATCAGGTGACTGCTGGTGTTGCAAATAACGTGATAGCTGAGGATGGAGGTAAGGTGACGGCTGATGATGGACTTGAAGTGAGAGCTGATGTTGGAATTGAGGTGACTGCAGGTGTTGGACTTGGGGTGACTGCTGTTGTTGGACTTGAATTGACTACTGGAAATGGAGTTGATGTGACAGCTGATAACGGACTTGACGTAACTCCTGGTAAAGCAAATGAGTTCAGTGTTGGTGCTGGCTATGAGGTGACTGTTGGTGCTGGAGTTGTAGTGAGAGCTGGTGTTCAACATGAGGTGACTGCTGGTGTTGGAGTTGTGGTGACAGCTGGTGTTGGTTGTGAGGTGACAGAGGAGGATCGAAATGACTTGACTGCAGGTGTTGGAACTGAGGTGACAGCTGAAGACAGACTTGAGATGACAGATGATAAAGATCTTGAGGTGACTGCTAGTGTTGTACTTGAGGTGATTGTTGGTGTTGGATTTGAGGTGATGGCTGGTGTTGCAATTAAGGTGACAGCTGATGATGAAGTTGAGGTGACAACTGATGATGGACTTGAGGGAACTGCTCCTGTTGATCTTGAGGTGACTGCTGTGTTTAGATTTGAGGTGACTGCTGGTGTTGGATTCAGGTAAATGAAGCAGTAGAAGAGGTGACAGCTGATGATGACTTTTAGGTGAAAGCTGAATTTGGACTTGAGGTGACAGATGATGATTTAGTTGAGGTGACAGCTGCTGGTGGACTTGAGGTGACTGCTCTTTTAGGACTTGAGGTGACTGCCACGGTTGTACTTGAGATGACCGCTGGTATTGAACTTGAGGTGACTTCTGGTGTTGGAGTTGAGGTGACAGCTCTTGTTGGACTGAAAGTCAATGAAGTATTAGAAGAGGTGACAGTTTATAATGATCTTGAGGTGACAGCTCATGTTGGGCTTGTGGTGACAGCAGGTGACAAACACTAGGTGTCTGCTAATGAGGTACTGAGGTGACAGTTGATAACGCACTTGGTGTGACTCAAGCGGAACCTGAGGTGACTTCTTGTGTTGGACTTGAGGTGACTGCTGTTGTTAGACTCGAGCTCAAAGCTGATGGTGGACTCAGGGGTGAGATGAGGGTGGACTGGAGGTGAGAGCTGCTGATGGGCGTGAGGTGACTGCTGGTGTTGGAATTGTGGCGACGACTGTTTGGAATGAGGAGAATTCGCGTGTAGGAATTTTGGTGACTGCTGGTGTTGTACTTGAGGTGACTGTTGGTGTTGGAAATGAGGTGACTCTGGTGTTGGATGTGAGGTGACAGCTGATGGTGGCTTTGAGGTGACATCTGATGATGGACGTGAGGTGAGACCTGATGGGGGGCTTGAGGTGACTGCTGCTGTTGGATGAGGTGACTGACGGTGTTGGATCTGTGGTGATAGCTGTTGTTGGACGTGAGGTGACTGAAGAGGGATTTGAGGTGATGACTGTGTTGGACCTGAGGTGATAGTTGGTGATGGATTTAAGGTGACAGACGTGGATGGATTTGAGGCAACGGCTGAAGAAGAAGTTGGGGTAACTGGTGGTGTTGGACTTGAGGTGACACCATGCGTTGGTCTTGAGCAGATTCAAGTGGGAATAGAGGTGACGGCTGGGGTAGGACTTCAGGGAAATGACGCAGTAAAGGAGGTGACAGCTGAAGACGGACTTGAGTTGACATCTGATGGTGGACTTGAGGTGAAAGCTGGTGATGTAGGGGAAGTGACAGCTGATGGTGGACTTGAGGTGACTGTTGATGATGTAGCTGAGGTGACATCTGATGATGGACGTGAGGTGACTGTTGCTGTTGGTCCTGAGGTGACTGCTGGTGTTGGAATTGGGGCAACTGCTGTTGTTGGACTTGAGGTGACAACTGGTGTAGAATTTGAGGTGACTGCTGGTGTTGAAATTTTGGTGACTGCTGGTCTTGGAGCTGAGGTGACTGCTGGTGTTGGACTTGAGGTGACAAAGGGGGTTGGAGTTGATGAGACTCAAGTGGGAATAGACATAACTTGCTGGTGTTGGACTTCAGGTAAATGAAGCAGTAGAAGAGGTGACAGCTGATGATGACCTTGAGGTGACTGCTGGTGTTAGACTTGAGGTGACAGCTGGTGTTAGACCTGTGGTGACAGCTGGTGTTGGTCTTGAGGTGACTTCTGGTGTTGTACAGGAGGTGACTGCTCGTGTTGGAACTGAGGTGAATGCAGGTTTTTGACTTGAGGGACAACCGGTGTTTGACCTGAAGTGACGAGTGGAGACGGAGTCGAGGTGACATCTGACGACTGACTTGACGTAACTGCCGGGAATGGACTTGAGTAGACTGTTGGTGTTGGAACTGAGGTGACTGCTGGTGTTGGACTGGAGGTGACTATGGAGATGGAGGTGAGGTGACAGCTGATGGTGGACTTGAGGTGTGAGGTGAGGATGTCCTTGAGATGAAAGCTCGTGATGTACGTGAGGTGACTGCTGGTGTTGGAGTTGAGGTGACTGCTGTTTACCTGACCTAACAGGCGCTAATGGACTCGAGTTGACAGTTGATGTTGGAGGTGAGGTGACCGCTGTTGTTGGAGTTGCCGTGACGGCTGGTGTTTGACTTGAGGTGAGTCAAGCGGGCATCGAGGTGACGGCTGGTGTTGGACTTGAGTTCAAAACTGACGATGGACTTGAGGTGACAGATGAGGGTGGACTGGAGATGAATCCTGGTGACGGAGATGACGCGACTGCTGGTGTTGGAATTGAGGTGACGGCTGTCGTTGGAGTTGAGGAGACTGCTGGTTTAGGAACTGAGGTGACTCCTGGTGTTGTACAGGAGGTGCCGCTAGTGTTGGAGCTGAGGTGAACACAGGTGTTTGAATTGAGGGAAAACTGGTGTTGGACTGAGGTGATACAGGAAATGGAGTTGACAGCTGAGAATGGACTTGACATAACGGCTGGTGACGGACTTGAGTTTACTCCTGGTATTGGAATTGCGGTGACGGCTGTTGGTGGGTGAGGTGACTGCTGTTTGAGGAATTGAGGTGACTGCTGGTGTTGGAATCTTGGTGACAAATGTCTTTGGATTTGAGGTGACATCCGGTGTTGGAAATGAGGTGACTTCCGGTGTTGCATTTCAGGTGACAGTTGACGATGGCTTTGAGGTGACAGCTGATGATGGACTTGAGGCGATTTCTGCTGTTGGACTTGAGGTGACGGCTGGTGTTGGACTGGAGGTGACGACTGGAGATGGAGGTGAGGTGACAGCTGATTTGACGTAACTCCTGGTAATGCACATGCATTGACCGTTGGTTTGTCCTTGAGGTGACGGCTGGGGTTGTAGTGGTGGTGACGGCTGGTGTCGCTCTTGAGGTGACTCAGGTGGGAATTGAGGTGACGTCTGGTGTTGGACTTGTCATGACAGCTGGTGATGGACTTGAGGTGACAGATGAGGATGGAATTGAGGTGACTTCCGGTGGTGTGGACGTGACGTGATGGCTGGTGTTGGAATTTAGGTGACTGCTGCGGTTGTACTTGAGTTGACAGCTGGTGTTGAACTTGAGGTGACAGCTGGTGTTGGAGTTGAGGTGACAGCTCTTGTTGGACTGAAAGTAAATGAAGGAGTAGTAGAGGTGACAGTTTATAATGGACTTGAGGTGACAGCTGACGATGGCCTGAGGTGACAGCTGATGAAAAATATGCGGTGATGGCTGATGAGGAATTGAGGTGACAGATGATGACGCCCTTGGTGTGACTCAAGTGGAACCTGAGGTGACTTCCTGTGTTGGATTTGAGGTGACTGCTGTTGTTAGACTCGAGCTCACAGCTGATGGTGGACTCAGGTGTGAGGTGAGGATGGACTGGAGATGAGAGCTGCTGATGGGCGTGAGGCGACTGCTGGTGTTGGATTTGAGGTGACAGCTGATGATGACCCTGAGGTGACAGCTGAGGATGGACTTGAGGTGTCTCCTGCTGCTGGAATTGAAGTGACAGCTCTTGTTGGACTAGAGGTCAATGACGTAGTATTATAGGTGACAGTTTATAATGGACTAGGGGTGACAGCTGCTGGTGGACTTGAGGTGACTGCTATTTTAGGACTTGAGGTGACAGATGGTGTTGAACTTGAGGTGACCGCTGGTGTTGGAGTTGAGGTGACAGCTCTTGTTGGACTGAAAGTCAATGAAGGAGTAGTAGAGGTGACAGTTTATAATGGACCTGAGGTGTAAGCTGATGTTGGTCTTGAGGAGAGCGCTGGTGTTGTTCTTGAGCTGACTGTCGATTTTGGACTTCAGGAGACTTCTCGTGTTGCAATTAATGTGACAGCTAATGATGGACTTGAGGTGACAGCTGGTGTTGGAGTTGAGGTGACTTCAGGTGTTGGAGTTGAGGTGACAGCTGGTGTTGAAAATGGGATGACTTCTGGGGTTGGAGTTAGGGTGACAGCTGACTTTGGATGTGACGTGACATCTGATGATGAAACTGAGGTGATTTCTGCTGTTGGACTTGAGGTCAGAGCGGTGGCCTGGAGGTGACTCCTGGAGATGGAGTTGAGGTGACAGCTGAGGAGAAACTCGATGTAACTTCTGATAACGCACACGCATTGATGGTGTTGAGGTGTTCAGGTGACTCCAGTGGGAACTGAGGTGACTGCTTGTGTTGTTCTTGAGGTGACTTGAGGTGTTGCAATTAAGTTGACAGCTGTTGTAGGGCTTCAGGTAAAGGAAGTAGGTAAAGAGGTGACAGCTGATGATGACCTTTAGGTGAAAGCTGAAGTTGGACTTGATGTGACAGCTGATGATGTCTTTGAGGTGGAAGCTTGTGCTGTTCTTGGGGTGACTCTTTTTTTGGACTTGAGGTGACTGCTGGTGTTGCAATTAAGGTGACAGCTGGTGTTGGACTTGAGGTGACTTTATGGGACTTGAGGTAACTGCTGTTGCTGGAATTCAGGTAAATGAAGCAATAGAAGAGGTGACAACTGATGATGGCCTTGAGGTGGAAGATGGAGCTGTTCTTGAGGTGACTCTTTGTGTTGGACTTAAGGTGACTGCTGGTGTTGCAATTAAGGTGACAGCTGATGATGGACTTGAGGTGACAGCTGATGATGGACTTGAGGTGACTGTGGATGATGTATTTCAGGAGACATCTGATGATGTATTTGTGGGGACGGCTGCTTTTGGACTTGAGGTGATTGCTGTGTTGGACTTGGGATGACTGCTGTCTTTAGACTTGAGGTGACAGCTGGTGTTGGTCTTAAGGTAACTGCTGGAGTTGCAATTGAGGTGCCAACTGATGAAGGACTTCAGGTGAAAGCTGATGATATAGTGGAGGTGACAGCTGATGATGGACATTAGGTGACAAATGATGATGGATTTGTCATGACAGTTGCTGTGGGACATGAGTTGACTCAAGTGGTCTTGAGGTGACAGCTGGTGTTGGAATGAAGGTGACTCCTGGAGATGGCGATGAGGTGACAGCTGATGACAAACTCGATGTAACTCCTGGTAATGCACTTGAAATTACAGTTGTTGTTGGACTTGAGGTGACTGTTGCATTTGGGTTGACAGCTGGTGCTGGACGTGAGGTGACTCAAGTGGGAATTGAGGTGACGCCTCTGTTGACTTGATGTAACAGCTGATGATGGACTTGAGGTAAAACATGAGGATGGAATTGAGATGACTCCTGATGATAGACTTGAGGTGACATCTGGTGTCGGACGTGAGGTGACTCCTGTTTTGGGACTTGAGGTGACTGCTGGTGTAGGATTTGAGGTGACTTCTGGTGTTGCAGTTGAGGTGACTCAAGGGGAATTATGGTGACGGTTGATGATGGACTTAAGGTGACAGATGAGGATGGATTTGTGATAACTGCTGGGGATGGACTTGAGGTAACTGCTGTTATTGGACTTCAGGTGACACCATGTGTTGGAGTTGAGCATATTCAAGAGGGAATACAGGTAACTGCTGGTGTTGGACTTCAGGTAAGTGAAGCAGTAAAAGAGGTGACAGCTGATGATGGACTTGAAGTGAAAGCTGATGATCTAGTTGAGGTGACAGCTGATGATGCCTTAAGGTGACAGCTGATGATGGACTTGAGGTGACTGTTGCTGTTGGAATTGAGGTGACTGCTGGTGCTGGATTTCAGATAACACCTGGTTTGGGATTGGTGGTGACTCCTGGAGTTGGAGTTAAGGTGACAGCTGATGATGGACTTGACAAAACTGTGGTAATGGTCTTGAGTTGACAGTTGGTGTTGTGCTTGAGGTGACTCAAATAGGAACTTAGGAGACTCCTGTTATTGTTTTTGAGGTGACAGCTGGTGTTGGACTTGAGGGGACGGTTGGGGTTGGAATTCACATAAGTGCTTATAAAGTACTTGTGATGACTATTGGCTGGGGCCTTGAGGTGATTGCTGCTGTTGGACCTGAGGTGTAACCTGATGTTTGACTGGAGGTGACTGCTAGTGTTGCAATTGAGGTGACAGCTGGTGTTGAATTTCAGGTTACGACTGGTGTTGGACATGAGGTGACAGCTGGTGTTGGACATGACGTGACTGCTGTTTATGGAAATGAGGTGACAGCTGGTGTTGGGTGTGAAGTGATTACTGCTGATGGAGATGAGGTGACTGCTGGTTTTGCAATTGAGTTGGTTGTTATTTTGCCCTCAGGTAACAGCTGGTGTTGGACATGAGGTGACAGCTGATGATGGACTTGAGGTGACTGCCAGTGTTGTAATTGAGGTGACTGCTGGTTTTGCACATGAGGTGACAGATTGTGTTGGAGTTGATGAGACTCAAGTGGGACCTGAGGTGACTGCTGTTGTGGACTTCAGGGAAATGAAGCAGTAGAAGAGGTGACAGCTGATGATGACCTTTAGATGAAAGCTGATGTTGGATTTGAGGTGACAACTGATGATGACTTTGAGGTGACTGCTGGTGTTGTTCTTGAGGTGATTCTTTGTGTTGGACTTGAGGTGACTGCTGGTGTTGAAATTAAGGTGACAGCTGGTGTTGGACTTGAGGTGACTTGAATGGAACTTGAGTAAATTGTTAATGTTGGAATTCTGGTAAATGAAGCAATAGAAGAGGTGACAGCTGATGGTGACCTTGAGGTGACTGCTGTTTTTGTTCTTGAGGTGATTCTTTGTGTTGGACCCGAGATGACTGCAGGTGTTGAAATTAAGGTGACCGATGGTGTTCGACTTGAGGTGACTTAAATGAGACTTGGCTGCCGGTATTGAAATTAAGGTAAAAGCTGGTGTTGAACTTGAGGTGACGGCTGATGATGGACTTGAGGGGACTGTTGCTGTTGGACTTGAGGTGACTGCTGGTGTGTGACTTGGGGTGACTGCTGTTTTTAGACTTGAGTCCACAGATAGTGTTGGACATGAGGTGACTCAAGTGGGTCTTGAGGTAACTGCTGGTGTTGGAATCAGGTAAATGAGGCAGTAGAAGAGGTGACAGCTGATGATGACCTTGACGGGAAAATTGATGTCAGATGTGACTTGACTGCTGGTGTTGTACTTTACGTGACTCTTATTGGAGTTGAGGTGACGGCTGGTATGGCAATTAAGGTGACAGATGGTGATGGACTTGAAGTGACAAATGATGATGGAATTGAGGGGACTGACACTGTTGGAGTTGAGATGACTGCAGGTGTTGGACTTGTGGTGACTGCTGTTTTTAGACTTGAGGTGACAACTGGTGATGGACTTGAGGTGACAGCTGGTGATGAACTTGAGGTAACAGCTGATGTTGGACTTGAGTTGACTTAAAAGGGACTTGAATTAAGTGCAGTTGTAGGAATTCAGGCAAAAGAAGCTGTATAAGAGGAGACAGCTGAAGACGTACTTGAGGTGACAGCTGAGGATGGAGGTGAGGTGACAGGTGATGATGGACTTGAGGTGAGAGCTGATATTGGAATTAAGTTGTCTGCAGGTGTTGGACTTGGGGTGACTACTGTTGTTGGACGTGAGGTGATGAACTGGAAATGGATTTGATGTGACAGCTGACAACGGACTTGACGTAACTCCAGGTAATGCAAAGGAGATGAATACTGGTGTTGGGTATGAGGTGACTATTGGTGCTGGAGTTGCAGTGAGAGCCAGTGCTCGACATGAGGTGACTGATGATGTTTGAGTTATGGTGACAGCTGGTGTTGGTTGTGAGGTGACAGCTGAGGATAGAAATGACTTGACTGCTGGTGATGGACATGAGGTGACAGCTGGTGTTGGAACTGAGTTGACTAAAGTGGGAATTGAGGTGACTGCAGGTGTTGGAATTGAGGTGACATCTGAAGATGGACTTGAGATGACAGCTGATAAAGATCTTGAGGTGACTGCTGGTGTTGTACTTGAGGTGACATCTGGTGTTGGACCAGAGGTGACTGCTAGTGTTGTACTTGAGGTGACTGCTGGTGTGTGAGTTGAGGAGACAGCTGGTGTTAGACTTGAGGTGATTGTTGGAGATGGATTTGAGGTGACTGGTGATGATAGACTTGACGAAATGGCTTGTAGTGGACTTGAGTTGAGTGTTGGTGTTGGGCTTGAGGTGACTGCTGGTGTTGGACTTGAGGTGACTGCTGGTGTTGGACTTGAGGTGACTGCTGGTGTTGGACTTGAGGTGACTGCTGGTGTTGGACTTGAGGTGACTGCTGGTGTTGGACTTGAGGTGACTGCTGGTGTTGGACTTGAGGTGACTGCTGGTGTTGGACTTGAGGTGACAGCTGGTGTTGGACTGGAGGTGATGACTGGAGATGGAGGTGAGGCGATAGCTGATTTGATGTAACTCCTGGTAATGCACATGCATTGACTGTTGGTGTTGTCCTTGAGGTGACTGCTGGTGTTGTAGCGGTGGTGATGGCTGGTGTTGTTCTTGAAGTGACTCCAGTGGGAATGGAGGTGACGGCTGGTGTTGGACTTGTCATGGCAGCTGGTGATGGACTTGAGTTGACAGATGAGGGTGAATTGAGATGACTTCCGGTGGTGTGGACGGGACGTGATGGCTGGGGTTGGAATTTAGGTGACTGCTGTGGCTGCACTTGAGGTGAAAGCTTGTGTTGGACATTAGGTAACAACTGCTGTTGGATTGAGGTTATTGCTGGTGCTGTTTTGGAGGTGACAGCTGACGATGGACTTGAGTGACTGCTCTTGTTGGTCATGAGGTGTCTGCCGGTGTTGAACAGGAGGTGATTGCAAGTGTTGGAGTTGAGGTGATGCTGGGTTTTGTCTTGAGCAGACTGCTGGTTGTGGACTTGAGGTGACTGCTGTTGTAAGACTTGAGGTGACTGCTGGTGTTGGATTGGGATGACTGCTGTTGTTGGACTTGAGGTGACAGCTGGAGATGGACTGGAGGTGACAACTCATGATATAGATGAGGTGACAGCTGATGATAGACTTGGTGAACTCATGGTAATGCAGCTGTGACTGTTGGTGTTGGACTTGAGGTGACTGCTGGTGTGGGGCTTGGGTTGCTTGCTGTTTTTAAACATGAGGTGACAGCAGGCGTTGGCTATGAGGTGACTCAAGTGGGTCTTGAGGTAACTGCTGGAGTTGGAGTCAGGTCATAGAAGCAGTAGAAGAGGTGACAGCTGATGATGAC